ATTTAGTGGGATTATGCTGGTGCATATATTGGGCAGTGATAAAAGAAGAAATAAAAAATCACAGATTCCTATGAGTGATCCAGCTTTACCAGGCGAATGGTCTTAAAGGAGTCGTCTTCCATTTCTTTTAAAGTTTCCACCTCAGAGCTTTCTTCTTTGTGGTTACTGAAACAGAACACACAGAGACAAACACACGGATGCAGTAACTTATTGAGACATGAGTTAGCATTAGTTTAGTTTAAATGCTAGTCAACGTCAACTCATCATCCTGTGTTTTTTATAGTTAAAATTACAAAAACATATAGTGACAGTTATCTTTAAGGCAGAAAGCTTTTAGCAAACGTTAGGCTAGCTACCTACTCGGCTCTCAGGTAACAAGCGCAGCCTGTTTGTCATCACGAGCAGTCAAAAGCATTTGTTACAACTTCTTGCGGACCCGGTATGCAACAATTCAAAAAGCTATTATTTGAAATAACTACATAAGTTTTCTTTAATACGCACTTCAGCAATCTTTCACTCATACCTGTGGCTGTGTTCATGTCTCCATGGAAACGGATACTTCCCAGTAATCCCTCCGCCTCGGAGGTGGGGCCTGTGAGCGAGCTCGTACCGAGCGTGAGAGCGACAGGCACGTCGGCGGTAGATGATATGCAAGAGAGGAAAGGGGGTGACTTCGTGTCTCTTATAACATAATCCAAAATGTTTTTCTACCGGTTACATTTTGGGTTCAGGGGGTGTTGCACGCTAAGATGCCCCCCTGCCAGGGATTGCCCTAGCCTGTCATGTATGCTCTTGCACACACTCCACTGATATTTGTCCAAAATCGTGGCTGCTGAAATGATTTGTAGCTGTGACAAAGGGGGACACACCAAGGCAGGGGCCCCCATTACCTACCTTTTCCCCCCGTTTCCGAGCTTCAACAAATTTCATCAGTATATATGGGACAAACATCAGCAGCTTAAGCAAGTTTGGTCCCTGTATCTTCTAACTAACCAGAATAGACATCATGTTAAAAGAAAAACAACAACAAGCAAATAAAACAAAACAAAACAACATAAGAAAGTTCATCTAGTTGTTGCCAAGTTGCGGAGCTCGGGTGCGCTCGCAGAGCATGTGAGAAACTACTGAGAAAGGAATGAAGGAAAGTGCTATACATTTTTTAAGCAGAAATTATTAGAATGCCTAAATGAGGCTTGGCAAAAATAAGTAAGTGGGTACATGGACATGATTAAGCTCCTGATTTAATCATTTGTGAGAGAAACATTTCCATCATTTTATAGGCAGCTATACAGTCTATACACTATACAGTTCACTTTAACATAAGAAATAAACAAGAACATGTTTGTACATTTAACTGCAATGTTCCAATCACTTTGGCAAACAACAGCTGCCCTGGGTCGCCCTCTAGTGGCACAGTAACTAAAGTGCTGCAGTACAACAAGGGGAGGTGTGGAGAAAAATACAGAACATTAATTAGACTTTTAGATTTCAGATGAAGCTTTTACACCTACTAAGTCTGATATTTTTCTTACAACAAGAAAAATCCAATTCGAATTTGAATTCAGCATGCTGCTATGAGTACCCCCCCCCCCCCATTTTCCCAACATGAGGAGGGAGAGAAACCATCACCA